GCCTTTTTTTCATGACCCTTTAAAAAAATGTAAAACCCATTCCTAGCTCAGCTATAAAAACCGAGTTATGGCCCACCTACCTTAGTTTGCCTACTCCTGCTCTAAACCAAAGCTGTTCAATAATGTATATTTGCACTGTCTAGTACAGTAGTCGCTAGTCACATGTGGCTACTGACCACTTGAAATACAGCCAGTGTGACTGAAAAACAAAAAACTTAAACTTGGTGTACTTTTAATTAATTGAAATTGAAATTCAAATAGCCACATATAGGTTAGTGGCTACTATATAGGATAATGTAGCTCTAGATCCCCAAATATTTCTGTTCGAACCTTTGGGAAACACATCAGAGACAAATGGAGGGCCCATCTTACCTGGCATAACCAATGATGAGGCTCCCAAACACAGTCCCAATTCCAGCCCCAGAGCCTGCCACCCCTACTGTGGCAGCCCCAGCCCCAATGAACTTGGCTGCTGTGTCGATGTCCCTTGAAATGGCACTGGTTTGGAAGCTACGGCTAGAAATAAGCGAGGTCAGGGGACGTGGGGCTGCCAAGCTGCTCTGTGAAGAGGAAAAATATAGGAGATAAAATTTTTAGGAATCCCCTTTTGCTTTGCAAACTTTTGTAACACTTAAAGAAAGCTTTATGCTGTTAAATCCCATGCCCCCCCCCCCCAAAAAACAGAAAATCTTTTTACTTTCTAGAAAACTTCCTAAAATGCTGCCAAGAAAAACTTTTTAATGCAAGAGGTGAACTTCAAATACCTTTAAAATTCAAGTATGCTTTCTAAGATCAAAATCCTAGCCTGTGCTTGGTGCCTCGAAGAGATCATCTTTCTGGGACTAAATGTTCCAAATGAAGTCTGTAAATTAGGCCAAGTAATGGCAGTCATCAGTAGCACACATAAGCATGTGTTACCAGTGCCAGAGCTGGAACGCTAGAGCATATATGCTATCAACTGCTCTGCATCTCCACCTAAAACCAATGGCCTCGATTCTTCACTAATTTTCCTGTGATGACTCCCCCTACTGGTTCTTCTAGGTAAACCCTCGCCACTCCTTACTCCCAAACCACAGGCCCAATTCCACCGATAAGGTACCTCATCTGTCAGTGTCTCTGGTCGTTTCAGCACCACTGCAGACATTGACCGGCTCAGCTGAGAGGTGCTCCGGACCTAGCAGGAATGACACAAGGGCAAGAAAGTCAAGGAAGGCTCTGGAGAGGAGTTTTAGAACCATCCTAAGTTGTTATTCAATGCCCCTTTCATTCTTTCAAACTTAAATCAGAATGTTGGGTATTCTTTTACTTTTAGCTAATTCTAGATTGAAGAACCTCACCATTTCTCTCTTGCTTCCCAGGTTTCACCTTTGCTTTAAGAAAAGGAAGTCTACTTTTTGAGGGGCTACCCTCACTGTATCCTTTCACAGGCCTTGAGAATGGGAAAAGATATAAGCCTCAGAAGGATTTGCTTCACTCAATAAGAGATATATGTTGGTACTGGCTAGCCCATAAGAAGGAACCCAACGACTAGAGTATCTTTCCTTAAACACATCCTTCTAAAGATAGGCACGAAGGCCCATGCTGTAAATTCACCACCTTCTGTTAGCCTTTCTAACCTCAAGCCAGTATCTCCAAGGCAGACAACATGGTGGTTAACAGCCAGGGCTTAAATGAGATATACCTAGATTCATCTTAGCTCTGTAATCAGCTGTGTGACCTTAGGATAGTCATATCTAAGCCTGTTTTCTCCTCTTCAAATGGGAATAATCTATTTCAGGGTTGACTTGAAAAGTAAATAAGGTTGTGTAGCCCTAGCTGGTTTGGCTCAGTGGATAGAGCGTTGGCCTGCGGACTCAAGGGTCCTGGGTTCAATTCCGGTCAAGGGCAGGCTGCTCCCTGGCTGGGCCCTGGTCAGATCACATGCAGGAGGCAACCAATCGATGTGTTTTTCTCACACTGGTGTTTTGTTTCTCTGTCTTTCCCTCTCTCTTCCAGTCTCCCTAAAAATCAATGGAAAAATATCCTCGGGTGAGAATTAACAACAAAAAAAGACTGTGTATACAAACTGGTAAATTCAGAGCCAGGCATAGTAAGTGCTCAATAAATAGTACCCACCAATAGCACCACTTCCACCATTTAATAATTTGTAATTTCTTCCATGCTAGTGCTTTTGAGTAAAATATTTTTCCAGTGTGTATTTACATGTATGTTAGCTTCCCACCCAAATTTAAGCTCCCAGAGGGTCTCTTAGCTATGGCTCTTCGACAGGACAAAATCCTGTACACAGTGCATACTTAATGCAAGTTAGGCAATCTACTTCATGTTTACCATTTCTGGCTGGGTTCCAGTTTACAGAAAGTTTTAGGGTAGAAATAACCTGATCTCAGTCTAGATTCTCATTTTCCTCTTCTAAGATTGGTGGACGAGAAGAATTAACTGGCCTCCAAAGGATATGGGGCAGGTAAACATTCTCTCTCCTGTCAGGCTAGCATAGCAAAGGATCTTCCCCCGGCCCAACTGTAAAGAACAAGGTGTTGCAAGGAAGAGACAAGATGCCCCTCTTGAAAAGTCTCCTAGAAAAGGCAGGTACTCACCAAGGAGGGGGTGGACACAAACTTGGTGCAGGCATACATTTTCAGGGGATGAGGGGAGCTGGAATTACAGAAGCACATTGTGAACACTGTCCTTGCTCACCAAATGACATTTTTATTAGCAGAAAAGGGGCTCTGGAAAATTTAAATGGCCCCGAGAGCAGAGTGACTGACCTCATCTTAAAAGAGATGGAATCAGAACTCTGAAGTCAAGATTTCCTTATAACCAAGTGACTTCCCTGGTCTGAGCAAGTAGCCACCTGGTCCGTTTTAAGACCCATTATTTACTTCCATAGCCTCGTGAGTTGGGGTTGTCAAGAGGAAATTTGCTCAGTGTCCTTTGCCTAAGTTTTCCTCAGTTTCTATTCAAAAGGAACCCTTTTCAAGACCTCATTATCTGGGCCTAACAAAGTTGCCCTGTAAAGACTTTGGGGAGTTATTTGTAGAAGACCAAAACACTGGAAGGGTCGCCAGTGATCTTCTAATTACTTTAAGCATTTGATTCTCCATTTCCTATATCAATTAACAGGGTGAGGAAGATCAATTAGGAACTTTGCCATTACTCTAATTAGCAACCACTGTTAAAGTATTCATTTTCACCATCACTCCTTGAAGGGGCATTCAATACACAAGATCTAAAACAATGCTGACACTCTGTAGGTGCCTATGTTGGTAGAACTGAACTTATCTGAGAGGTACCGGTGAGTTAAACATCTAAAGGCAGGGTTTTTCCAAGTGAAGTGAGAGGCCCACCTGAACTAATTATCTAGGTGTAAGGATGGTGTATGTATTAAAAATGCATATTCTTGGGTCTCACCCCAGTGGTTCTCAACCTTCTGGCCCTTTAAATACAGTTCCTCATGTTGTGACCCATCCATAAAATTATTTTCGTTGTTACATCATAACTGTAATGTTGCTACTGTTATGAATCATAATGTAAATATCTGATATGCAGGATGGTCTTAGGCGACCCCTGTGAAAGGGTCGTTCGACCGCCAAAGGGGTTGCGACCCACAGGTTGAGAACCGCTGCCTTAGACCTTCCTGGCCAAGATCTCCGGGGTTAAGTCCAGCACCTGTATTTCGAACAAGCTTCCCACGTGATTCTTATCCATACTAAAGGCACCATCTAAAAACCAATCTTAAATTATGACAGTGGTAAAGTCAGGACTTTAACTCTTACTAATAAATGAAAGCTTTATAGCATGCTAAAGGTTAAAATACTCACTGATTTCTTAGGTCTGTTAAGTGACACTTCCTTAAAGGAGTTGGACTCCTATTTCCCTAGGTTACTCTTCTGAATCCAGAATCTTTTAAGTTACTTTTAGATTAATGGATGTCTTCAACTCTCATCCTGTCAAGAACTCTGATTTCTGCCCATCTTTAACTCTAACCTAACTTTGTGCTGAACTATTCAGGTTTTCTTGGGTCAAATCCAAAATCTCTTTAAAGCTTAAAAAAAGAGAGGACTGGTTTTTCCCAAGGATTAAACCTCAATATCATCATTTGTAAAATGCAGTTCTTGGGGAGATTAAATGAAATGACTGATGTAAAGAGCTTAATGTGGTGCTGGCCCACGGTAAGACCACACCCAAGGGTGGCAATTAAGGAGCTGCGAGAAGTGCTGATTGCTCCTTGGCCACCCAACCTGGCCAGTCTGCAGCTGCGCCTGCCACACCCCAGGCAACGGTACCATCCGGAACCCAGGACCTAAGTCACCACAGGTCTCCTCCTCCTGTAGACCAGTCACTGAGTTACTGGACTGCTGACTTAACCATCCCCCTCCTTACACTTTATTTTTCCTCTGGAGGGCAGAGTCAGGGACTCTCATTAAGCCCTTGACGGAAGCGGGCAGGTGCACATGATCCCATGCAGGTCCCACCCTACGCTTCTGGGCCTGCTGCCCCTCACAGCAAACCTCACTATCAGTCCACTGTGTCTCCCCCCAACTTCACCGCGGTGAAAGGAAGAGAACGGCATTGGAAGACAACCCAAGGTTCCAAAGAAACCGGCCTCTTTCCTGCAATAGCTCTCCCAGATCACCGCCTGAAGGGAATGTTTTGACTGTTTTGTTCACTTCTACCACGTTCACGGCTTACTTTTTTAAATGGAGGGGTGCTGACTAGAGGGGTTGGTGGCTTTGGATGATCCACTAGCTCCATTGCTCGGCACCTGAGGTCCTGAAGTCTGGAGGTTTCAGGATAAGGCAGGCACGGGGTAAGGATGAGAGGATAAAGCAGAGATTGGAGGGGAGAGTCTAGGGGTTGTGATAACTCTGAGAGGGCAAGAGGGTAAGAAAAGAGCGTTTGTAAGGGCTGAGTTAGGACAGGTGAAGTGAGCACTCTGGCATTTGACTTTCGCCAGCTCCAACGCGCCCTCCCACAGCGAGTCATCCAAGATGGCGCCAGGCCCGCGCGGTTGGAGGTCAACGGCACACGGAAGGGGCAGATCTTAAGACGCGGGGATACCGGGAGCGAGGAAGGGCGTGAGGACCCGGGTGGGAGCATGCAAGGTACCGGCCTCAAAGCAACCGCGCGAGGGAGGGTATCCCGCGCGCGTGCGCGGCGCAAGCGGGCACGAGGGCCCAAGCCTTACCTGCTCCCAGTGCAGAGAAGACAGAGAGGGGCGGGGGGGCTGGAATAGCGAAAGAAAGGCTTCGCGCATGCGCGGCCCGGACCAACGAGTCGCTCCGCCAAGGATAGAGTGACTGCAATGTGGAGGCGGCTCAGGCGCCACAGCGCCGCCTGCCACCTCGGTGGTGGCATCCGGCCAGTCGCTCCACCTGGCGTTGTAGAGGAGAAACTGCAGGCGGAGCGGCTGCAGAAATAAGGATAACTCCGCAGTGTAAACCAATCCGTTATGTGGCCTGCGGTATGGTCTGCACAGCATTTGGGATCTTGGACTCGCGTTTCCTTCCCGAGCATGCGTATTCACATTGAAAATAAAAATCTACCTAGTAATTCAATGTTAAATAGCATACAATCGGGATTGGGGTTCAGTGCCCAAAATGTAGCGGGATTCTTGCGTTGTTGCCCCTGGAACTCTGGCTTTATGGATGGGAAACCTGTTCAGTGGGGGAATAGTCAGCAACACGCCCCAGCGACCACGGGTGGCTTTGCCTTTATTTTTTTCTCTCTCTCTTTCTTAATTCCAGTGATCAGCCACGAGGAAACTAGCATCAGCGAACCAGAAGATAGGGGCTAAAGATGATGGGACTCAAGCACCTGACTCTCAATCTTGAAACTGACCTGCAGTGAGGTTGCGAGGTCACGCCAGGCATGCCCATTCTCTGCCCAGGCTTCTGAGACCAGCAGACCCCCAAAGAGGTGCTCTTATGAAGACCCCTCAGCTTTCCCCTCGTCCTGTCCTTCCCTGGGCCACGTAAGGAAGTGGGGGCGCCACGGCCCTCATTGCTTCCTCCGGCCCCTGTCTCCGCGGGGTCTGACAGCCCCTGCAAGAGGCGGTGCAAGGCCTACCTAGTCCCCTCCTGGCCAGACCCCGGCGTCCAGGCGTCGGGCTTGCACGCAGCAGGAGAAAGACGGGGAAAGCTCACCAAACCCCCATAAAAAAATAAAAAATAAAAAGAATGCTGCGGCTGTAAATAAAGCCAAATCCACCGGCCTCGGAGGGGCCGTTTGTCCTCCCCTCCTTGGCCTCGTCCTTCCCGCCGCCCCCTCCCGGTTCCCGGGCCCCGCGGCGCCCCGGCCCCGAGCTCCTCCATTTAATCGGATTTGGGAGAAGGGGAGGATAAATCACGGCAGCAGCTTTACGGTCCCGGAGGAGAGGCGAGCCGCAGCCAGGCACACCCCGGCCGGCGATAAAAACCGCCGCTGAAAGCCCACGGAGCAATTTCCCGGGACCCCGAGCGACGCCATTACAGGAATGTAATTTTGCCCGGATGAGGCCCCGAGTTTAATTATCCTCGCGGAGGAATTTCAATGTGGCCAATCCATCTTGCAGGCGGGCGGCAGAGGGATTTATATGGGCCCGTTATTTCACACCGATCCTCCATCTGCATTTTTATGGCCCCGAGCTCCTGAAACGGGGGGAAGGCGCGGGGAGAA